ACAGAGACAAACATCAGAGAAGAAAAACGGCCCAATGAGGGCGCTGACAGAGACACCTGAACACCTGGAAGCTGTTTGTGTCACGTTCAAGGACACTCGTCTTCTCTAGACCTCTGGACACTGTGTGTGTGTGTGTGTGTGTGTGTGTGTGTGTGTTTATAATCCTCTCCATGTGTGCACAGACGAGCTGATTGGTCCGTGTTTCCTGCGCTTTACATTTTGGCCTCTCCTGCTTCCTGCTGCAGGATATCTGCGTCTTCATCGATTTAAAACAGATCCATCATCTGATTGGTTCAAACGTGCGCTCTGCTCACAGACTGGAACCTCGAAGACGTTTTCACACAATCAAACATGTAAAACTGTCTGAACCTTTCAAATTTTCAAACACTTACTTTAACTCAGGACACGCATTACTGAATGAAGCTCATTTCAGTTAATGAACACCTCGTCACCTTGATGCCCCACTCTTTTGAAGCTCTTGAACGCCTCATGTTTCGTATTTCTACCATAAGAATCTTTATCAGCCATAAAACCTTTCAATGAGTCGACTCGAGGCACTTCTTCTTCTTCTTTGGAAACCATATAAAGAACATTCATAAAACAGATTATACGATCTTCTCCAAGGTTCTGCCTCTTTTCTTCACCTCCAGGAAACTCTGGATTTATCTGAGCCAGGTGTGACGGCAACGAGCCAAACCTGATCCTGGACCAGGAGGGGGGAGGAGGAGGTGATCCCAGGTCAGTGTTAAAGACTGCAGCGGTCAGGATTTCCACCACAGAAGAAGAACGATCTGAACATCTGTTCCCTCGACGACGTCTCAAACTCAATCTGTGAAACAGATTCCGAATTTATCCCAGAGAGGATCATCAATCTCTGAGATCCTCTCCTCGACAAACCCTGGGGTTCCCCCAAACACAAAGCCAGATCCCCTCGTCCCCCCTTGGCCCCCTCCCCCCCTCCCCCATGTCCTCCCAACCAGTCCTTATTCAGATGACCTGACGGACAGACCTTTTCTTCTTCTGCAGAATAATTGAGTGTAGGAGGTTAAACAGAACCATGGGGCCCTGGGTGGTCTGCAGGATTACATTAGTCCCTCTCCCAGCAGGATCCAGTTTCCTGCAGCACACTGCGCCTCATGATCAGCTTCAAAGACTTTACATGTGTGACATCATTTCCTGTTTCCCTGCAGATCCCAGGAGGTGTGTGGAGTCCACGGTGGAGCTGCAGAAACTTGTTTCTGTGTTTTCTCTCTAAATATTCGCTGAGTGTTTTTATAGACTACGACTCGCTCTGCCAACAACAAAGAGACATTTTGTTCTGAGACCAAACACGAGACTATACATGAACACGTGTAAACGCAGAGGGTCTCAAACTGAGGGTCAGGACCCCATCTGGAGCCACCTCGTAGACGTCAGAGGTCATTAGAGGAGGGGAGACAACCATTAAGAAGTCTGCAGGAGAACGTGTTTTAAAAACGTTTTTACTTCAGCACTCGCTCCTCCGCAGCACTCGCTCCTCCGCAGCACTCGCTCCTCCGCAGCACTCGCTCCTCCGCAGCACTCGCTCCTCCGCAGCACTCGCTCCTCCGCAGCACTCGCTCCTCCGCAGCACTCGCTCTTCTACAGCACTCGCTCTTCTACAGCACACACTCTTCTTCAGCACTCGCTCCTCCACAGCACTCGCTCCTCCGCAGCACTCGCTCCTCCGCAGCACTCGCTCTTCTACAGCACTCGCTCTTCTACAGCACACACTCTTCTTCAGCACTCGCTCCTCCGCAGCACTCGCTCTTCCACAGCACTCGCTCTTCTACAGCACACACTCTTCTTCAGCACTCGCTCCTCCGCAGCACTCGCTCCTCCGCAGCACTCGCTCCTCCGCAGCACTCACTCTTCCGCAGCACTCGCTCTTCTACAGCACACACTCTTCTTCAGCACTCGCTCCTCCGCAGCACTCGCTCCTCCGCAGCACTCGCTCTTCCACAGCACACACTCTTCTACAGCACTCGCTCTTCTACAGCACACACTCTTCTTCAGCACTCGCTCCTCCGCAGCACTCGCTCCTCTGCAGCCTCTCAGATGGCATGCAGGATTCTCACTAGAATTTAAACTTCGGCTATCGAGACTACCTGTCAGTCATCAGCAGTAACCCCCCCCCCCGTGGAATGGGTTCCCAGTTGGACTGTTGTTGGCGTGTTACATCACATCACTCCTCAGAGTCAAAAATCTGTCAGAGTTTTTTCCTTCAACTATAATTATCCACCGGTTGCCGTGCCGACAGCACATAAAGCCCAGCTCCGACCTGCAGTCTCAGCAAACCCCCACCTCCAAATGACGTTCTGGAAAAGTAATGTAATCCATGAAAAGGTTGGAGACTTAAAGGACAGTTTGTTAAATCTGCGTCCTGCTGGAGTCAGAGCGGCAGCAACATGTGAGCTCAGGTCGCGTTCAGCAGATTTATGATGATGACTGATGTAAACGTGCGTCAGGAATTAAAACAGACTTTTAAAAAAAAGTTTTTATTGACACTGAATATAAAAACATTTTTATAAAAACATCTTCATCCAGCCTCGTGGAGAAACTTTATTTACAATCTTCAGAGCAAATTTAAACACAAGAGAGATAATGAAGAGTTAGCATTAGCATGTAGCTTGTGTTCATGTGTTAGTCACGTTCTAACCTTTATGAAGAACAGAACTCCTGATAGGTCTGAGACCATTAGCCACTTAGCATGCTAGCTATGGGAACAATAAGTCAGGTGAGGACCAGGATGTTAGATTAACGGACAGAAAGCACTTTTCAGCTTTGAGACACCGACACATGGATCATCAATCCTCAAACCCTGAAGAGAAGAAGAAGAAGATAATGCCCACACGGAGCGTCTACAGCGCCACCTGTAGACTCAGCTACCCACTCAGAGTCACACCTGTCATTAACCACCTGTGTGCTTTATGGCAGAATAAAACAGTGGTCAACAACGAGGTCGACAGCGAACGTTACACTTCTTCTTCTCTGTTTCTGTTTTAAACAGAATTTCTCCTTGCGGGATCAATAAAGTAAATCTTAATCTTATATATATAATATATATATATATATATAATCTTAATATTTTCCCGTCATGAGAACCAGCCCCGTCTTTAGGTGAGGTCCAGGTAAAAGCAGCAGGTACCTGTCTGACCCTGTAACACATCCCATAATACTCTGTGACGGTCGAAATATAACCAGATAAATAAAACATCTCACACGGTAAGAACATAGTCTTCAGGGAGCCAGCTTCCCTTTTATAACAAAACAAAATCATTGTATGGTAAGTTAGCCACGCCCCCTCTGCAGAGAGGACACGCCTCCATGTTTCCTGCTGTTGTTTGATAAATAGTTAAGATGAGGCATGTTTACATATTTCTCCCTGACAGTCTGTCCTCTACATGTTTTTACAGCACTGAGGAGGGGGCAGGGCCTCCTCCCCCCCAAAGACCACCAGTCCTCTCACCACTTCCCGGGGATCGGCGTCCCACACTCATACCATGACACGTAGCTGATATGGGAGGGGCCTCCGATCTGTCCAAAGTGGACGGGCTCCTGACGAATGGCACGATAAAAACCTGGATCAGAAGAGACGGAGAGTTATCCCGAGTCGCCTCGTCTGCAAGAACAACTCTAAACAACCAATCAGGAGGCTGCATACCTGGTCTGGAGGGCAGCTGGTCGGCTTGGAGCTGTCGGCCCGTCCGTCCGTCTAGGAACGAGTCGACGAACTGACAGTGATCCTCCCCGAAGCCCGTCTGATCTCCGATGTTGTGGAATTTACCTGAACAGGTGACAAACAGACTTTCAGAATAAAAGACCAACGCTCCTCCAGCCTGCATTCTCTCTGCTGACCAGCAGGTTACTCACCGGTGAGCGAGTCGCTCAGGTAGATCTTGTACCTGAGCGAGTTGCACAGCTGCACGCCCACAAACTTGCGGTACCAGGTCCTCTTCACGTACTGTTTGCCGTGACAGTCGGAGTACGAGTCCGTCTTGAAGGGAAACTGCGTCCAGATGGCGTCTTTCCCTGCAGAGAAAGGAAGTGATGACTCCTCTGCTCTCATAGAAACGTCTGTACGCTGATGACACTCAGGTGTTTAAGGGGTCTTACCTGACACATTCTCGCTCACCCGAGGGTCCGCTATGAACAAAACAAAACATTTGAATTCTCACAAACAGAACTGTTTGTTTGGTTGTCTGTTTGTTTATTGTTTACATCTTCAAACCTCAGTACCTGACTCTGTGCTGAAGGAGACCGGCTCACTGGGAGGACCCTCGCCCAGCTCGTTCTTTGGCTTCACCTTAAACTCATAGCTGAAGGAAAGACACAGAAAGATATGACGTCATTCTGAAGAACCAATCAGCACACAGAGAGAGAGATATGATGTAATGCTGAAGAACCAATCAGCACAGAGAGAGAGATATGAGCAGAGCGGCGTCTGGGCAGGAAGCAGACGGCGCTCTGTGAGACGGAGGAGCGTGCAGGCGTTACACTGAAGAGCTAACAGGAAGTCAACACTCACCTGCTCTCAGGCTTGAGGTTTTCCACGGCCGTGTGAGTCTGGTTGGTGGTCAGGATGGAGACCTGCTCACCATCGGGTCCTTTGGCGGTGGAGATGACTTCATACTCTGAGGAGGAGAGGCCACACCCTTCAGATAAACAAACGTTTCCAAACAGAGATCCTCATGTCTCATTGTTTTCATACCTGTGGTGTCGTTGTCGGTTTTCTCCCAGTCCAGGATGATGAAGGACGGACATCCCTCCACGGTCACCACCGTGAGGTTAGAGGGCGGAGACTTGGGCGGGGCCGTCACGTTGGCGTCGCCACGTTCGCCCTGAGGGAAGTAGTTGAGAGACGAGGTGATGGAGCACGGCTCATCGGGTTTCTTTCCTGTTTGGTAGACGACGTGAGGAGCTGCAGGAGGACAGCGAGGACGAGTATGAGTCATCATTTTATTTCATCGTCTTTAACGACGTGAACGCCGCATCCACTCACCAACGTAACGCTTTTTTCCCAAAGCGTCGACATCAGAGGTCGGCTGAGACTGAAAGAGCTCTGAGTCCTCCCACGTCTCCTGACGACCGCCTGGATACACAAACAAGATCAGGTCAACAGGAAGTGTGAGAGTATGTCAACAGGAAGTGTGAGAGTATGTCAACAGGAAGTGTGAGAGCAGAGAGCATGTCAACAGGAAGTGTGAGAGCATGTCAACAGGAAGTGTGAGAGCATGTCAACAGGAAGTGTGAGAGCAGAGAGTATATCAACAGGAAGTGTAAGAGCATGTCAACAGGAAGTGTGAGAGCAGAGAGCATGTCAACAGGAAGTGTGAGAGCATGTCAACAGGAAGTGTGAGAGCATGTCAACAGGAAGTGTGAGAGCAGAGAGTATATCAACAGGAAGTGTAAGAGCATGTCAACAGGAAGTGTGAGAGCAGAGAGTATGTCAACAGGAAGTGTGAGAGCAGAGAGTATGTCAACAGGAAGTGTGAGAGCATGTCAACAGGAAGTGTGAGAGCAGAGAGTATGTCAACAGGAAGTGTGAGAACATGTCAACAGGAAGTGTGAGAGCAGAGAGCATGTCAACAGGAAGTGTGAGAGCATGTCAACAGGAAGTGTGAGAGCATGTCAACAGGAAGTGTGAGAGCAGAGAGTATATCAACAGGAAGTGTAAGAGCATGTCAACAGGAAGTGTGAGAGCAGAGAGTATGTCAACAGGAAGTGTGAGAGCATGTCAACAGGAAGTGTGAGAGCATGTCAACAGGAAGTGTGAGAGCAGAGAGTATGTCAACAGGAAGTGTGAGAGCATGTCAACAGGAAGTGTGAGAGCAGAGAGTATGTCAACAGGAAGTGTGAGAGCATGTCAACAGGAAGTGTGAGAGCATGTCAACAGGAAGTGTGAGAGCATGTCAACAGGAAGTGTGAGAGCAGAGAGTATGTCAACAGGAAGTGTGAGAGCATGTCAACAGGAAGTGTGAGAGCAGAGAGTATGTCAACAGGAAGTGTGAGAGCATGTCAACAGGAAGTGTGAGAGCATGTCAACAGGAAGTGTGAGAGCATGTCAACAGGAAGTGTGAGAGCATGTCAACAGGAAGTGTGAGAGCAGAGAGTTTGTCAACAGGAAGTGTGAGAGCATGTCAACAGGAAGTGTGAGAGTATGTCAACAGGAAGTGTGAGAGCATTCAACAGGAAGTGTGAGAGCATGTCAACAGGAAGTGTGAGAGCATGTCAACAGGAAGTGTGAGAGCATGTCAACAGGAAGTGTGAGAGCATGTCAACAGGAAGTGTGAGAGCATGTCGTACCGGCTGTGGTCGGGGCAGCGGTGCTCGTCTGCTTGCGTTCCTGTTTGGTGGGTTTGACGGTTGCTGGAGGTACTTTGGGTTTCAGGACGGGCAGTTTGTCCGTCTGCTTCAAGTTGTTGACTTTATCTGGTGGAGAAAACCAAAGTGTGACGTTCTGTGTGCAGACAGTTGGAGAGCTGAGAGAAGGGCGTGACCTCTGACCTGTGTCTCCAGGTTTCCCCACCAGGTTGGGTCTCTTGCTGATTGGTACAGACGGACGAGGGAGGGAACCTGGAACAAAGAAGACATTTCAGCTGCTGCTTCTCAGACTGTCACAGAGGATCAGGGACCTGGAACCTGAAGACTCTCTAATCTGCCTCTCTCTCTCCTCCAGCTCAACCTGATACCCGTGTCCAAACTCCAGATGAACCTGAAAACATGAACAATCCTGCGTAACTCGAGTCTGTTTTCATAGAACCACCAAAGACCACAGTCTGGAGCCAATTTACCCCCCTCCCCGAATTCTTCCTAATCACAGAGCTGAGTCGCTCCAGAACTAAGAGGCCTCAAAGCAGAGTGGGAACATGACATACATACTGGAATGATTTTATGTGTTCACACAAACAATCCTGAAACTGAACAAACAGCGTGTGACATCATCACGCCTACAACGCTCGCAGTCAGACAGGAAGTGAAGCAGAAACATGTTAAAGATTGGCTGATGTGTCCAGATTCATCACACAACAAAACCATCTACTGTAAAAAGCTCAAAGCTTTTTACAACGTGAGCTAACATCAGGTCGCCTCTGGACGCTTCACATGACCAGGAGAGCTGCTGAGGAGCCAATCAGCACACAGTAGTCAAGCTGAGGTCAAATCTTTACCTCTACGGTGGGACATGTCAAGAGACTAGGACTTCTCCTGCAGTAATGAGTCGTTGACTGCAGCAGGTCAGACTGGGACCCTCGTCACCTTCACTTCACCTGACATTACCTTTCCTACAACCTTACCTTAGCTTCACTTAACCTTCCCTGTACCTCGCCCTCCAGGTTTCCTGATCAGTGTAAGTGAGACTCCTGAAGCTCAGGACTAGCAGGCACAACCACATGCATACTGTGCTTCAGTCTGACCATTGACCCCATCCCCTCCTGTTGTGAACACAGAGGGGAGGGGGGTGTGGTCAGAGCATGTCAGGCTTCAAGGCGCTGAATGAGGGTTTGATCATTTTCATGAAGTTTTCCTTTGAATGTTGTGTAACAAGAAAGAATCTGCTGAAACAATCAGTCAAATAAAAAACAGTCTGCCCCTGGAAGAACAACTGGAAACCCCGACCACAAGCTCCAACCCAGACATCCAGACCCCCCCCCCACCACCACCACCACACGGAGCACAGTGACATCATGCTACAGGACTTATGTAACCAACTCAAATCATCTAAACGTCCTCAAGATGGTTTGAAACTGAAATCCTGCAGAAGCTCGAGTTCAGACAACAAACATGTAGGACAAAAGACGACACAAAAGACACAGAAGACCCAGAAGACACAGAAGACACCCTAAGACCCAGACCCACGGACAGAGGATGGATGATAAAGGACAGAGGATGGATGACAAGGGACAGAGGATAGAGGACAGAGGATGAATGATAAGGGACAGAGGATAGAGGATAAAGGACGGAGGATAAAGGACAGAGGATGGATGATAAGGGACAGAGGATGGATGATAAAGGACAGAGGATGGATGACAAGGGACAGAGGATAGAGGATAAAGGACGGAGGATAAAGGACAGAGGATGGAGGATAAAGGACGGAGGATAAAGGACAGAGGATGGATGATAAGGGACAGAGGATGGATGATAAAGGACAGAGGATGGATGACAAGGGACAGAGGATAGAGGATAAAGGACGGAGGATAAAGGACAGAGGATGGATGATAAGGGACAGAGGATGGAGGATAAAGGACGGAGGATAAAGGACAGAGGATGGATGATAAGGGACAGAGGATGGAGGATAAAGGACAGAGGATGGATGATAAGGGACAGAGGATAGAGGACAGAGGATGGATGATAAGGGACAGAGGATGGATGATAAAGGACAGAGGATGGATGATAAGGGACAGAGGATGGATGATAAGGGACAGAGGATGGAGGATAAGGGACAGAGGATGGAGGATAAAGGACAGAGGATGGATGATAAAGGACAGAGGATGGATGATAAGGGACAGAGGATGGAGGATAAAGGATAGAGGATGGATGGATGATAAAGGACAGAGGATGGATGATAAAGGAAAGAGGATGGATGATAAGGGACAGAGGATGGAGGATAAAGGACAGAGGATGGATGATAAGGGACAGAGGATGGATGATAAAGGACAGAGGATGGATGGATGATAAAGGACAGAGGATGGATGATAAAGGAAAGAGGATGGATGATAAGGGACAGAGGATGGAGGATAAGGGACAGAGGATGGATGATAAAGGACAGAGGATGGATGGATGATAAAGGACAGAGGACGGATAGAGGATGGATGAAGATGGATGAACATTAAAGCATTAACAGATGGAAACAGAAAGGTTTACCAGGAGCTGCAGGGGAAGAAAGTGGAAGCATCTGAAAGTTAATGATGAAGATGATGATGATGATGATGATGATGATGAAACAGAGACAACAAGTCTTTTTACCGAGTCGAGGTCTGGACCATAAGGCTGGTCGAGGTGGGGAGAGGCCCCCCCGATGAGGCTGTCCGTTTACTGTGGGGAGAAAAGTGAGCGTTATGAAGGGACAGAAAGAGAAGAGAAGCAGAACAACCTCTCACTTCCTGCTCCAGAAACCAACGCCGTCTGAACCAGTCTGCTGTTCTTCAGAACGACCTCTTTAAAGTCTGAACACTTTGAGATGTGGAGATGAAACGGTGTGTAACTGACAACGAACTGAACCAATCACAAAGCATCTGCAGTGAAGTTGGACGTCAGTAGGGTTTAGGTTTTCAGATTGTAAAGTGACTCATTCTTAAAGACGGAGAGTGTTTCCTGTCAGACAAACGGACACGAGAGGTTGTTCCACTGATCAGCTCACCAAACGTCAGCAGAATAAAGACGTAAAACAAACAGACGTGAAACTCAGAGGAATATTCAACCTGTTGGACTAAAATACAAAACCAGGATCCAGGTGACCTGCAGGACCAATCAGAGTGTTTCATGTAATGCTTTCTCTGTGTAGTCACAAAGGACTGGATGGGTTTATTTCACATGTTGTGGGTCAGTAGACACTCAGGTTACTCAGATCTATGTTCAGAAACACTGTAGAAGTGGATTATTCAGAATATGTCCTCTTTTAAAATAGTCATTATTGATCACAGAGAGTTAAAAGTTAATTAAAGCTTGAATACTGAAGTGGTATTTTGGGTTCTATGTCAGTGTTTTTTGGGATCTTGTCAGCTGATATAGTAGATCAAACCTAAAAATAACTCTTTACTGTTTATGATCTAAATAAATCAGCATTTAGGATAGAGGTCAACAAGAGCAACCGCTGAGATAACCAACAAGTCAAGTCCCTCTTTAGTCGGTTTCTCCTGATGCTCGTTGTTGCAGGTCGGTTGTTTACATTGTCCAACGTCCAAATGACTTTTAAAAGACAGCGGTGTGAAGGACAGACTAGAGACAGGAACAGGGAGGATTACCCCCGAGTATCCCCGAGCTGTGAGCTGAGGTACTGGCTCTAGAGGGGGAGGGGGGGTGTCTGTTAGAGAAGGGGAACAGAGGGTTCCTGGACGCAGGCCTCATGGATCTGACCAGCAGGGGAGCTGCCGGGTTGTAGGTCTGAAAAGTCAGCGCAGGAGACCGATTGCTGTCCTGACCTAAAAGACCAAAAAGAGTAGCAGGGCTGTTACAAGCTGACGTCGCTTTGATGGAAGTTTAGAGTGAAGCGAGCACGCAGCAGCGGGGAGCGGTGATGTTAGTGATGGACGACTCTGATGGACATTCACTGTACACTCTAAAAACACAGAGTCACAATCTTCACAAACCACAGTCATGTTTATGACTGTCAGATTGTGTGCTGCATGCAGACGTTAGACGCCATGTTGGATGAAATGTGTTTACAAACTCCTGCAGCGAGCAGCCAATCCTGTGGACAGAAACATCAGGGCACATTTATCAGGAAGCTGGTGGGGACAAGATGGAGGCTCATGGACGGCAAACAGACAAAAAGCAAAGAGTGCCTCTGAAGACCAGGAGGTCAGTATTACCCCAGAGGTTAGTTTGGGCTCTCTCATTGGCCTGAGCCGATCTCAGCAGGGATGATTCATCCTGTGATTGGACGAAAGCTGCATGGGAAAAAGAAGGTTTAACATGACAAGTTGGACAGAGAAGGACGTCAGTGCGTCCGATCAAAAAGAGTAATGATGTCTGAAGTTCAGAAGAGAAAACCTTTGAGAAGTATCTGAGCATGTGATCATTACTGCACGCTGAGCACAGATTCTCTTGGATTAGACATTTAGACTTGAGCAGTTTGCAGACGACACTCTTCTTTCTCTGAGAGTCACAGTAAAAGGTTCTGAAGTTCTCGTGTGGTCGTGTGGACGTGTAATCAGAAAAAGGGAAAGTGAAGGTTTGAATTACCGGCAGGGTTAAAGGTCATCTCGGGCACATTAGTAGTCTGTCCCTGATGTGAGTCATCCCCGGAGGTTAGTTTAAGGATGGGGGAGGCTGTGGTGTCTGCAGGACGGGCTGTGGTGGACATGAGGGAGGGGAGGGCCGGAGGACGCTCTGATGGTTTCATGGTGTCGTTTGTAAAAGAGTTTCCTTTGTCTGGACGAGAGAGAGAGAGAGAGAGAGAGAGAGAGAGAGAGAGTGAGAGACAGAGAGAGAGAGAGACAGAGAGAGAGCCAGAGAGACAGAGAGACAGAGAGAGAGAGACAGAGAGCGAGAGACAGAGAGAGAGACAGAGAGAGAGACAGAGAGAGAGCCAGAGAGACAGAGAACGAGAGACAGAGAGAGAGAGAGAGAGAGAGGGAGAGAGAGACAGAGAGAGAGAGACAGACAGAGAGACAGAGAGAGAGAGACAGAGAGCGAGAGACAGAGAGAGAGAGAGAGAGAGAGAGAGAGAGAGAGACAGAGAAAGAGCCAGAGAGACAGAGAGAGAGAGACAGAGAGAGAGAGAGAGAGAGAGAGAGAGAGAGGGAGAGAGAGAGAGAGACCCAGATCATGGGAACCTGATCATCACGTCTGAATGTAAGGTTGTCTTTTATTTAAATCGGATATCCTGTATTTGTTTTTTAATCGTCTCTGACCGTCAGACAAATGTCCAATGATCAGGTTTTGGCCCCAGGATCTCGGCCTGTACGGAAAGACAAAAAAGTCTAGAAGAGGGGGGGTCTGCAGAACGACTTGTGTCGTCTCTCCCTGAAGGGAAAGTCCAACAACGTCTGCGTCTGAACTGACATGCTGTCCTTACATCATGCAGACTGATCCAACATCACAACCAATCAGGAAGCAGAAACACAGACGACGAGAGAAGGACTGAGGACATAGAGAGAAAAGGACTGAGGACATAGAGAGAAGGACTGAGGATGGAGAGGGAGGTACTGAGGACATGAGCGAAGGCGTGAGGTCATACAGAAAGGACTGAGGACACAAGGGAAGAACTGAGGACACGAGAGAAGGAGTGAGGACATAGAGAGAAGGACTGAGGATGAGAGAGAGGGACTGAGGACACAAGGGAAGAACTGAGGACAAGAGAGAAGGACTGAGGACATAGAGAGAGGGACTGAGGACACGAGGGAAGGAGTGAGGTCACACAGAAAGGACTGAGGACACAAGATAAGAACTGAGGACACGAGAGAAGGACTGAGGACACGAGGGAAGACCTGAGGACACGAGAGAAGGACTGAGGACATAGAGAGAAGGACTGAGGATGAAGAGAGAGGGACTGAGGATGAAGAGAGAGGGACTGAGGACACGAGGGAAGGACTGAGGACATAGAGAGAAGGACTGAGGATGGAGAGAGAAGGACTGAGGACACAAGGGAAGAACTGAGGACACGAGAGAAGGACTGAGGACACAAGGGAAGGACTGAGGACACGAGGGAAAGACTGAGGACACGAGAGAAGGACTAAGGACATAGAGAGAAGGACTGAGGATGGAGAGAGAGGGACTGAGGACACAAGGGAAGGAGTGAGGACATAGAGAGAAGGACTGAGGACACAAGGGAAGAACTGAGGACACGAGAGAAGGACTGAGGACACAAGGGAAGGAGTGAGGACACAAGGGAAGGACTGAGGACACAAGGGAAAGACTGAGGACACAAGAGAAGGACTGAGGACATAGAGAGAAGGACTGAGGATGGAGAGAGAGGGACTGAGGACACAAGGGAAGGAGTGAGGACATAGAGAGAAGGACTGAGGACACAAGGGAAGAACTGAGGACACGAGGGAAGAACTGAGGACACGAGAGAAGGACTGAGGACATACAGAGAAGGACTGAGGATGGAGAGAGAGGGACTGAGGACATGAGGGAAGGAGTGAGGACATAGACAGAAGGACTGAGGACAAGAGGGAAGGAGTGAGGTCACACAGAAAGGACTGAGGACACAAGGGAAGAACTGAGGACACAAGGGAAGAACTGAGGACATGAGAGAAGGACTGAGGACACGGAGAGAAGGACTGAGGACACGAGGGAAGAACTGAGGGAACAGAGAGAAGGACTAAGGACACGAGGGAAGGACTGAGAACAGAAACGTCTGAAAGAAGAAGAAGAAATCTGGCGGCTGACCTTTAGCAGCGTGGATTAAAAAAACTGTGCTCAAAGTGGGCGGGGCAAATTGAACTTACTGTTATCATCTGACCGCCATCTCCACACCACGGTTTTACGGTCTAACTGAGCTGAAAGCATGCTAACATGCAGCCAATCACAGCAGCTGCTGGTCCCTGAGCCCGCCCCCTCTCAGGTGCAGGGCGGGGCTCAGCTGAAGCAGGTAAACAAGCGTGTTTATTTTTACCGAGTAAAACATGAGGAGAGTTAGGCTCTGCAGTCTCCTGACGACCTTCAGGGGGCGCTGTGGGGAGGAAGACGGGTTATTTTAGAAGGAGATGAAAGACAACATGAACCCTAACCCACACAGACGAGTAACGAGTGAGAGTGACACCAGATCAAAGAAGAAGACAGGAAGTGATGTCATTGTTGGTGGAGGAAACAGGAAGTAATAATCACCAAAAGAAGTGCGAGGAGCTCCGGGGAAGAGAGGGAGGTGCGTCCTGTTGTGCAGTGCTGCGGACATGAGAGGAGAGAGAGAGAGAGACGGCTTCAATACTGTAATTTGTATTTAAAGACTCCTAATGATATATTAATAGTTAATAAAGATGAAGTCCTGACGGCTCGCTCTGTGTCTCAACACGCTGTTTGTTTCTGGAGCGTCGTGCTGCAGACGCGTCTGAACTTGTGCCAACATCTGTCTGCACTTTATTCTCTGGTTTATTGTGATGAAAACAGGTGGAGGTGGATTACACCTGAACATACCTGTGATTTAAAAGATTCCTGTGACATGTGACGCTGCCTGAACACGCTCACAAACACTACAGAGGGTTTAAAGAACACTCACCGAGACGAGGAGGGAAGAGAGTGTGAGGGCCCAGAGGTTTCTGTAAAATCACAAAAACATTCAAATCAGATGTGACTACGAGTCCCAGAGTGCACTGCTTCAAAAGACAAACATCCAATCAGAAAGCCTGAGCAGCTTCAGGTGAGTTTATCATTCATTCAGGTTGATTTATGAGCTTTAGTGAAGACTGCTGAGGCTCATGGGAAATGTTGTGTGAAGAGAAACTCCTACAGAGCCATTGCCGTGGTAACAAACAGGTATCTATATTCAAAGTTTAAATTCTGATACCGTGGCGATGTTAAACAGAACATCATGCTAGGTCAGTCTCAGTTGGATTTTATTTGAATATTGGCACCAACAGGCTTCCGTAGCTCACAGTGAGGATAAACAGTGTGACCTCAGGAGACTAGGTCGAAGGTCAAACACACACCGGTCTGCTGGGAGATCTACGTCATAACACCCACCCACCCAGCACATGTATGTGCTGTGACACATACATGTGCTGGGTGGGTGGGGTGGGGTGGGGGGGGGTGGGGTAGGGTGGGGGGGGTCAAACATGACAGACCCGTTTGATGTCATCGACCTTCTGGTTTTATGAAAGACGAAAACAGAGAAAATGATCTGAACAATTAACTGGAAGTGATTTATATTCTATGATGAAACAAATCAATAAAGCACACAAACAAACAAACAAACAAACAAACAAACAAAGGTGACCTGTAGTAAACAGGTGAGGAGCAGCAGGTGACTCACCAGAGGCTTAGCCAGAGGATTTCTCAGCTTAAATGGCTTCTGAGTGTTTTTATCTGTGAAGGAACATAAAGGGTTAAGGTGACTTTTAACTCATCGTGTTGTTACTGTGAGTCTGTGATGTCCAATCAGTTAGATGTGTAGAGAGTGAAATAATGTTTAGAATTTAGACTACAGTACCCATTTTAACCACTAGGGGTCAGAGTTAACTTTTCACTTCACACTGTAAAAAGTAAATGCCTTCTTACTGCCCATGTTGGTGTTGTGGATGACCAGTTTGCTCCACATGCTGCTGCGGTCGTCCTTGTTGGAGCGAACACCGAACTCATACGGCGTGTTAGGTTTGAGGTTGT